AGCAGCAGCAGCAGCAGCACATGCCGCTGCTGCAGCCGCTATCTGCTGCTGCGCTGCAGCAAATTGCAGCTCTTATGGCAACTCAGCCTGCCCTTGCAGATGCCCTTGCTCAAGCGTTGGGGGCTTTCCCACAGGGGGCGTGGGTTAGCAGCTGCAGCAGCAGCAGCAGCAGCAACAGCAGCAACAGCAGCAGTAGCAACAGCAGCAAGCGTGATGCAGCTGAGGAGCTGTGGCAGCCCAGGGACAAGCAGCACGGGCTGGAAACTGCAGCAGCAGGAGCAGCAGAAGATGCTTCTTCGGAGCTACTGCTGCTGCTGCCCCTTTCCACTGCACGGTGGGGACTCAGCAGCAGCAGCAACAGCAGCAGCGGAAAACAGCAGCAAGCAGCTCGCCGTCTTCTGGCCTCATTGAGAGGCAGCAAAGAGACACAGCATTTATCTCTGGCCGCTACTGCTGCTGCTGCTGCTGCAGCAACGCCTGCTGCAAGTGCCTCAGCAGCAGCAGCAGCAGCAGCAGCAAGCAACAATACGAACAGCAGCAACAGCAACAGAGTCACGGCGAATGCAACAGCAGCCGAACCTGAAGCGAGAGCAGCAGCAGTCACCTCACCTTCAGCAGCAGCAGCACCAGCAGGTGCTGCTGCTGCTGCAGCAAGGCAGCAGCAGCAGAAGCCGCGGGAAGATGACACCTATCTCTCACTGCTGTTTAGCTCTCTCGTGCTGCGGCTGCAGCAGCTAAGGGTTGCTGTTGCTGCTGAGACTTTGCTGCAGCCGCCTGCAGCAGATGGTAGCAACGAGCTGTACGTACACCTCAAACTCCTGGACCCCACAAAGACTCTGCTGCCACTTGTGCCTTCTCTGCAGCAGCAGCTGGAGGCGCCAGCAGGAGACGGAACCACAGCAGCAGCAGCAGCAGCAGCGGCAGCAGCAGCAGCAGCAAGGCCTGCTTCTGCTGCAGTCTACAGGCAACAAGCGCTGCGAGCTGGCAGCATCAATTTATTTCGTTTGTTTGTTCTTATCATTGCCTGGGTGGAAGGGGCTCCGCGCTCTGTTGCTGTTGCTGCTGCTGCTGCTGCTGAAGGGTCTGGTTCTTCGGCACTTGCTGCACCAGACGCAGCAGGACGGGCAGCAGCCCAAGATGCAGCAAAACACGCCAAGCAGCAGAATGCGCCGCTGCAGCAGCAGCTGGCAATTCTCGTACGCACAGCACTGGGGAGCTCTGCTTCGGCTGCTGCTGCTGCCCCTGCTGCTGCTGCTGCTGCCAAAGCACTCAGCAACGCCGGTTCTGCAGAAGACAGCAGCAAGGCAGCAGGAGAAGCAGGCGAGGCATCAGCAGCCGCCGCTGCTGGTGCTGCTGCTGCTGCTGATGGTGGAGGCCGCCCGAAAAAACAGCCGCAGCGCGTGCAAGAGGAAGAACAGCAGCAGCAGCAGCAGCGACTGCAGCAGCAGCTCTACTCGCTGCAGTCTTTGGGCTGGATGAACCTTGCAGCAGCAGAAGACGTCGTGAGGGAAATATTTGCTGCTTTTGGTGCTGCTGCGCTGCAAGAGAACAGGGAGAGGCAGCAGACATGTGCTGCTGCTGCTGCGGCGGCGGCTGCTGCAGCTGCTGCTGTGAGGTAAGAGATAAGGGGTTTGGCTGCTGCTGCTGTCGCTGCTGCTGCTGCGGCGGCGGCCGCCGCCGCTGCTAGAAGACGAGATACACGGGGGTTGGCTGCTGCTGTTGCTGCTGTCGCTGCTGCTGTCGCTGCTGCTGCTGCTGCTGCGCACGGAAAGTACATAGCTGTATTTGCTCTTGCCACTGCGGTGCATCATTCCCGCCGCTGCCTATTGCTGCTGCTGCTGCCGTTGCTGCTGCTGCTGCTGCTGCTGCAGGCTACCATCTCCAGCAGCTAAGTCGCGTACAGCTGGCGACGGCGCTGCTGCTGGTGCTGTAAGGGGCAGCAGTAGCAGCAGCAGCAGCAGCAACGCGTCTGTCCTTGTTTCTCGCTTTTTCCCGCCTTTTCTGAGCCAGCTGGCTCCTCCTGCTGCTGCAGCGCAACAGCAGCAACAGCAACAGCAGCAGGAACACCAGCAGCATCTGCGGGGTCGGCTAAGGCCACTGGATTCGCCATCCGCTGCAGCAGCAGCAGCTGCAGCAGGCGGATCGCCAGGGGCTCTTTCTGTTTGCATGCATGACGCGAGAAAGGAAGATGGCAGCAGCAGCAGCAGCAACTACGGCAGCAGCGGCAGCAGCAGCAGAGGCCACCCCTCTGGTGCTTCGTGGGGTTCAACGTCGGGAGAAGAACTCGAGTGGAGGCAAGCGCATCTCAGAGCCCTTGCTGTTGCTGTTGCTGTTGCTGTTGCGTTGCTGCTGCTGCTGCAGTTGCTGCTGCTGTATATCCTGCTGCTCCCGTCACTGCTGCGGTGCTGCTGCAGGCCTAGAGCCCTGCGCCTATATATTTATGAGGCGCTGCTGGCCCACGAGCCGCTGCTGCACATCCCTATCACCACGCCGTCTGCAGGCAGCAGCAGCAGCAGCAGCAGCAGCTGCAGCAGCAGCGGCAGCAAGGTGCTGCAGTACATTGGCTTGCAGCTCTTCTGTCACTTGGATGACTGCTGGCTGCGACTGAGGGCAGCAGGCAGCACTATGCCGCTGCCGCTGCTGTCTCTTGCTGCAGTCCCAAGGCACACAAGGAGCACAAGCAGCAGCAGCACCAGCAACAGCAGCAGCAGCAGCAGCAACGCAGCACCTCTTCCTGCTATTCGCGTGTCTGCTTCTTTGCCCAGTTGCAGTGCTGCAGCTGATGCTGCTGCTGCTGGTGACACATTTGCTCACCCGTCTGCTCCAATGACACCTACAGCAGCAGCAGCAGCAGCAGCAACACCAGCAGCAACAGCAGCAGCAACTGAGCCCGCAATAGGCGCAGAGGCGGGAGATGCGGTGCGGCGTCGGACACAAGCGGTCATGGCAGCAGCTGCAGCAGCAGCACCGCAAGTAGCAGTACCAGCAACAGCAGCACCAGCAGCAGCACAACCAAGCCCAAAGGCCGAAGCAGCAGCAGCAGCAGCAGCAGCAGCAGCAGCAGATGAGGCGCTGCTGAGCAAAGCCCTGGGCCTGGATTCCCGCGGGGCCTTTTGGTCAGATTACTTTCAGTTTCTGCTGGCAGCAAAAGAGCACTGTCTTCTTTTGCCGCTCAAAGCAGCATTGGCCTTCGTCTTGGCCAGGTAAGGCAGCAGCAGCAGCAGCAGCAGCACCAACAGCAGCAGCAGCAGCAACCGCAACAGCAGTAGCAAGAGCGACGGGAGTAGCCAAAACAGCAGCAGCGGCAGCAGCTACTCCGCGCAAGGTAAAACGTGTTTGCTGCTTCTGCTGCTGCTGCCGCTGCTGCTGCAGGGATGTCTCAGCAGCATCGCAGGTGCTGCTGCCGTTTCCGCAGCTGCGACCTGCTGTGCTGCTGCTGTCTTGGGATGCATTTGAGGGGCAAATGGGGAGAAGGCAGCAGCTGCTAGATCTGCTGTGCTGCTGCCACGTTGCTGCTAAAGCTGCTGCAGCAGAAACTCCTGCAGCCGTTGCTGCTGCCGAGAGACAGACACTGCTGTGCCTGGCACACGCCTGTGCCCACACAGCAGCAGCAGTAACAGCAGCAGCAGCAGCAACAGACACAGCAGCAGCGCAGCAGCAGCCGCTCCTTCGCTACGCATGCGACCCCAACATGCAGCAGCACATCGAGGTAATTAGTTGCTGCTGCAGAAAGCACACTTAACGCAGCTGCTGCAGCAGCAGTCACTGCTGCTGCTGCTTCTGTTGCAGCTGCCCAGAAGTCCTTAATGCGGCTTTGTAAGCTGCTGCTGCTGCTGGTGCAGGTGCTGCGGAGCCGAATGGCAGCCGCTTGGTGGATCGCTGATCTGCTGCTAGAGCTTCATGCAGCCCTGCAGCAGCAGCAGCAGCAGCAGCAGCAACAGCAAAATAAGCAAAGCCAGCGGCAGCAACGACGGCAGCAGAGGCTGCAGCATCGGGGAGGAAGGGAAGCAGCTGCTACACTGGCCTGGCCCCAGGACAGCAGCAGCAGCAGCAACAGCAGCAGCAGCAACAAAGGCAACGAAACTGCTGCTGCGATTCCAGCAGAAGCAGCAAAAAGCCTGCTGCTGCATCCGGAGGCCGTGGAGGCACTTGCTGCAGCAGCTAGCCAGCGCTGCCTTGCAGCAGCAACTGCTGCAGTGCGGCTGCAGCAGCTGTTTGGCACCTCTGATGCAGCTGCTGCTGCAGACGAAGCGTCTGCTGAGCAGGAGGCAGCAGCAGCAGCTGCTGCTGCTGCATCTTGTGTCCGCACTGCTGCTGCTGCCATCGGCGGCAACAGCTCAGCAGCAGCAGAAGCAGCTGCCGTTGCTGCCTTGCGGGAAGCCCTTGCTGCTGACATTTACGAGGCAACAGCGACGCAGTCCCTCCTCTTGTCGGTGAGTGCTGCTGCTGTTGCTGCTGCTGCTGCTGCTGCTGTTGTTGTTGCTGCTGCTATGGGTGTGATTACTGCTGCGGCGGCTGCCTGAGGCGCTAGAGCCACGAGTGCAGCAGCGGCATTGCCCGCCGCTGCCGCTGCAGCTGCTGGTGCTGCTGCTACAACGCAAGCTGCTGCTGCTGCTGCTGCTGCAGCTGTCTCGGCGGGCGCCGCTGTCTCTGATGCAAGAACAAACTTTTCTTGAAGGACTTGCTGCGCTGCCCTTGACGAGCCGCAGCAGCTACGAGGAGGAGCGGCAGCACGACACAGATGTTGCTGCTGCTTACTTTGCCCTGAGAGCAGCGCTGCGGCTTATTGAGGCCTGCAGCAGCAGCAGCAGCAGCAGCGGCAGCAGCAGCAGCACTTCTGTGGCGGCGGCGCAGCGGCAGGCGGAGGGGGCTGCGGCAGGAGCCGACAGCCTGGGGGTCTACCCGCAGCAGCAAGCAGCAGCTACTGCAGCAGCAGCAGCAGCAGCAGCGGAGCTGCAACCCCTACTGCAGCAGACTGTTTGCTGCTTAGAGAGGCTCATCGCACGTGTGCGGAGGCCCCCCTACCGTCTGTGGCTGCTGCTGCGGCTCGCGCCACTGCTGTTTGCTTCTACTGCTGCAGTCCAGCAGCGGCAGCAGCAGCAGCAGCAGCAGCAGGACAGAAACACGAGCGACAGCACTCGCAGCAGCAACTGCAGCACCAACAGGAGCAGCAGCAGTAGAAACGGAGCCTTTGTGGTCCCTCCATCCGTGTTTATATCCCTGGCGCTTCTCATCCAGTAGGAACTGCTGCTGCTGCCGTTGCTGCTGTAGCTGCTGCTGCTGCTGTAGCTGCTACTGCTGCTGCTGCTACTGCTGTGTCTATCCCTCCTGTGCTTGCTGCACACCTTGCACATTAGGGCTGCCTTTGCTGCTGCTGCTGCTGCTGCTGCTGTTGCTGCTGCTGCTACTGCAGGAGACACCTAGAAGCCCTAAGAGGTGCAGAGGGCCTCGGAAAGATTGGCCGCATTCTTCTGGAAGCTGCAGCACAGTTTTTTGAGGTCTGCTGCTGCCTCTTGGTGCTGCTGCTGTTGCTGCTGCTGTCGCCGTTTCTGTGTGCTGCTGCTGATTTGGCTGTCGCTTTTGCTGCTACAGATAAACACAAGGCTTCTCTGAGCATGCATTTTTGTTGGTGCCTCACTGCAGCAGCTACAGCAGCTGCTTCAGTCTCATACTATTTGCTGCTGCCGCTTTTGCTGCTGCTGCTGTGCCCTCAGGAGGCTATTTGGCGCTGCCGTTTGCTGCTGAGCCAGTTCTTTGCTGCAATGCCTCTTGCATCAATTTGCATTGCTGGAGGATCAGCGACGACAGCAGCAGCAGCAGCAGCAGCTGCTGCTGCTGCTGCTAATGATGCTGCTGAAGACTCGGCCACGACCAGTTGCATCACGGCGCAGCAGCAGCAAGACAGAGAGTGGCAGCAGCAGCTGCGCTGGATTGGGGTGTTCTCAGTGAGCAGCAGCAGCAGCAGCAACAGCAGCAACGAAGCCGTTGCAGGAATACCAAACATGAGCAGCAGCAGCCTAGACAGCGAGAAAGCCCCTGCTAGCATTTCAAGCAGCAGCAGAAGCAGCGGCGAAGGAGCCCCTGCCGGCATTTCAGACAACAACAGCAGCAGCAGCAGCAGCAGCAGCAGCAAGCACCACTTGGCCTCCCACATGACCCCCTTCGCCTCGCTGCTGTCGCTGGAAGCAGATCCTTTCGCCCGCCGTTTGCTGCAGCAGCCTGCTGTTTTCCTGGCCCGCGCGCTGCAGCAAAGTGACGTCAAGACCACCGCGTCAGCATTTGCTGCTGCTGCTGCATTTGCTGTTGCTGCTGCTGTTGTTGCTGCTGCTGCTGCTCTTGTTGTTGTTGCTGTCGTTGACGTTGTTGCTGTTGTTGTTGCTGTTGTTGTTGTTTGTATTGTTGTTGTTGTTGCTGTTGTTGTTGCTGTTGTTGTTGCTGCTAGCCCTGCTGCTGCTACTCTTGCCACCCCTGCTGCTGCTGCTGCTGTCGCTGTCCCTGCTGCCGCTGCTGATATTGCTACTCCCGCCGCTGCTGCTGCTGCTCGTGCTGCTGCTGCATTTGCTGCTGCTGCTCTTGCCATCCCTGCTTCTCTTGCTGCTCTTGCTTTTCCTGTTTCTGCTGTTGCTGCCATGGCTTCCCCTGCTTTCGCTGCTGCTGCTTGTGCTACCACTTCGTTTGCTGCTGCTGAGCGCGCTACTGTTGCAATTGCTCCTGCTCCTACTGCTGACGCGTCCACTGCAAACTGCATTTCTGCTGCTGCTGCTGCTGCATTTTTCAGGGAGCTGCTGCAGCGTTTTGAGCTGCCGGGACACCTGAAGATCAGCGCTGAGATATCAGAAGCATTTGCTGCCTTGCGAGATGCTCTGAGCTGCCTCCCTGCTGCTGCTGAGGCCGACGCTGCTGCTGCTGCTGCTGCTGCTGCAGTTTCCTGTCGCCTGGAGATGTGCCTTGAAGCATTTGACAAGTCGTAAGGCATGCAGCAGCAGCAGCAACAACAGGAACAGCAGCAGCAGCTGCAACAAGAGCACTAACCCGGGCAGCGAGAGGGGCTGCAGCCCCAGGTCTTTCTCAGCTGCACCCTCGCTGCTGCTGCTGCTGCTGCTGCTCCTGCTCAGGTGGGAGTCCGTCGATTCTGTGGTGGTCCCTGCAGCAGCAGCTGCTGCTGCTGGTGCTGCTGCAGGAGCGGCCGCTTCAACAGCCGCGCCATCAGCAGCAACTTTAGTTCCCGCAGCAGATGCAGCACTTGGTGAAGCAGCAGGAGCAGCAGCAATAGCAGCAACAGCAACTACGGCAGCAGCAGCAGTGGAGACAGAACAGGAATGCATCTTCCGCAGCTGCCTTACAACTTACTCAGATGCAGCAACAAAAGCCGCTGTCGCTTTGCTGCGCTGCAGCAAAAGGTTTGCTGCAGTGTTTGCTGCTGTGGATGCTGCTGTTGCTGCTGCGGCCCCTGCAACTGTCTCGCTGCTGTTGCTTCGCCGCGCTACAGAGGAACTGCGCAAAATCTCGCAGCAGCAGCAGCAGCAGCTACATCTAGAAGATACGTCGGCAGCAGCTATAGCGACAACAGCAGCAGCAGCAGCAGCACCAGTAACAGCTGCAGCAACAGCAGCAGCTGCAGCAGCTCTTCAAACACCCGCGCTGACAACTCTTTTAGCAACGTCTATAGACAGGTATTTGCGTCCTGTTTCTGTTGCTGCTGCAGTTCTGCTGTTGGTGCTGCCGTCGCACTTGCTGCTGCTGCTTCGAGAGGTGTCGCCGCTGCTGCTGCTGCCGCTCCTGCTTCTGCTACTTGTTGAGGAATTCCTCTGGCTGCTAGTTGGATTGCTGCTCTTCTGCTTGTGGGGATCTTTGTCCTGCTGTTGCTGCTGCTGCTGCTGCTGCGACGAGTTTTGTTGCTGCTACGCCTGATTCTGCCGCAACTCCCAAGTTTCCGCTTGCTGCTGGCAGCTCTGCTTCGCTGCACACGGAGGCACTCATGCTGTGACTCCATCTGCCCTTGCTGCTGCTGCTACTGCTGCTGCTGCAACCGCTGCTGCTGCTGCTGCTGCAGGCTGGAGGTGCTGATTGAGGCTCGAGGCATGCGCACAGTCAGCTTGGCCTCGTTGCTGCTGGAGGTGGAGACGCTGCCAATTAAGGCGGACCTCCTCAGGACCCATCTTTCAAGGTAAGCAGCAGTAGCAGAAGCAGCAGCAGCAGCAGCAGCAGCAGCAGCAGTGGCAGCAGTGGCAGCAGCTGCTGCTGCTGCTGAGAGCTCTTCTGTGTCTGCCGCTGCCGCTGCTGCTGCTGCCGTTGCATTTGAGCTCACTCCACAAGAGCAACACATGCATATGCTGCGCTTGCTGCTGCTGCTGCTGCTGCTACTGCGGCTGCCTCGCTGCAGCTTACACCAGCGCAACACCGCCGTGGCTTCCTTGCTGGAGCAGATGCAGCAGCTTGCTGCTGGCACTCTGCGGCTCTCAACTGCTGCTGATCTTAGCAGCTTTTTGGATAAGGCAGTGCAGGTGCTGCGGGGAGAACCGCAGCAGCAGCAGCAGCAGCAGCAGGAGCACCGACTTCAGCAGCAGCAGCAACTGCAGCCGCAGGATGAAACACCTCTTCCCGTATTCACTAGTGGTGAAGAGACTGAGAAGCTTTCAGAAGACCAGCAGCAGCAGCAACAGCAGCAGCAGCAGCAGCAGCAGGAAGGAAGTGAAGGGCAGCAAGAAGAAGGCACAAAGTACTTGCTAGCCCTTGTCTGTTACCTCAAGAGGATTGTAGAGCTCCAGACAGAAGCCAAGCAAAGGCTGCATGCCAAGCAGCAGCAGCAGCAGCAGCAGCAACAGCAGCAGCAGCAGCAGCAGCAGCGCAAGGAGGAAGAGGAGCAGCAACTGTTTAGCTTGCCGTTTGTGTCTCCTGAAGATTTAATTTCTGAAGTTCTCTTTCGATTTGAGGGGCAGCAAGAGGCGCAGCAGCTCGCAGCTTTGCTGCAGGCAGACCTGGTTGAGGTGCTGCTGCAGGCGGCGCTGCCGCTGCACCCCTTGCTTCTCGACAACACAAGCAGCAGCAGCAGCAGCAGCAGCAGCAGCAGCAGCAGCAGCAGCAGGTGGCCCCCGCCGTTTCCCTCCCCAGCTCTGGCTCTGCGGAAAGACTTAGTGCTCTTTTTAGGGGCCCTGGAAGAGCAGACCTATTCGCTGCGTCGCGATGCTGTTGCTGCGTGCAGCAGCAGCAGCAGCAGCAGCAGCAGCAGCGACTGCAAAGGCAAGGTGTCTCTGCTTGCTGCACTAGCCATAGCTGAGCGCTGCGTGGAGGTGTGGCCGTCGGGGCCGCTCCTGCTACTGGCGCAGCAGCAGCTTTGCTGCTGCTGCAGCAGCCTGCGGCTGTGGCTGGCTGAGAGGCACCGCTGCTGGCGAATCATACAGGCGACGGGAGCAATACAAGCAGCAGCAGCAGCAGCAGCAGCAGCAGGGCCTGAAGCACGGGCATTAGCAGCAGCAACAGACAGCTGGAAGTTGCGGCCAGAGGGCTGGAGGCCTCATGAACTGTTGGCTTTGCCCTTTGCTGCTAAGGTATGTCACAGCAGCAGCAGCAGCAACAGCAACAGCAGCAGCAAAACGCTAGAGAGCAGAGAGAACTTTGCGACAGCTGCATGACTACCACCAAGTGCTTTCGTAATGCTGCGGCTGCCATTGTTGCTGCTGTTATTGTTGTTGCTGCTGCTGTTATTACTGCTGCTGCGATGTACTGTTGTTCACTTGCTGAAGCTGCTTCTGTCTTCGCTGCTGCTGCTGCTGCTGCTTGTGCGTTTGAGGCGCTCTCGTTGCCGTTGGTGCTGTCTCCACTTATATTCTCCAACCCTTGCTGCTGCTGCTGTTGCTGCTGCTGCTGCTGCAGAGGTATTTAGAGGCCGTCGCGGACGACAGCCAAGCAGCGCTGGAGCTCTGTTTTGCTGCAGCAGCAAGAGCTTGGGGTGCACGGGGAGATCTGCAGCGGGCCTTAAGACTGGCAGATGCGCAGCTGTCTCCAGACACGGAGCTGCAGCAGCTGCTGCTCACCTGCGTCATCAGAAAGGCACAGCAGCAGCAGCAGCAGCAGCAGGAGGGGCATCAAGCTGAGGGGTCTGCTGCTGCGCTGCTACAGCCGGACTGTACAGACAGCTCAACAATACCTGCGTGGCCTCTTGACGGGTCGCTGCGCCTGTGTGCTGCTCAACCTGCAGCAGCAGCAGCAGCAGCAGGGGACCCCGCAGACGAAGCAGCAGTGGCAGCAGCAGCAGCAGAGTGCGACGCAGCAGCTGGCAGCGAAGAAGAGCTATCGCTGCCGCAGTGCGTCTTGCGGCTCAGCAGCGCAGCAGCAGCAACACGTGCTGCTTTGCTGCTGTCTGCTGCTTGGGCAGTGGAGACCTGCATAGACACTTTGGCCGTCTGCCAGGCGCGGCTGCAGGAGCAAGCAGCAGCAGCGGCAGCAACACAACAGCAGCAGCAGCAGCAGCAGCGGCAGACAGGAGACGCAGCGCAGAGTGGCAGCAGCAGCAGCAGCAGCATTGGTTGCCGCTGCCTGCAGCAGCATCCGCTGCTGGCAGTTCTTGAGCAGACTGCAAAGACTGGCACAGCAGCAGTAGCACCCGAAGCAGCAGCAGCAGCAACAGCAGGTGCAGCAGCAGCTCCCGCAGCTGCGGCGACAGCAGCAGCAGGGAGCGGAGACCTGAATGACGGCGAGGAGCTTGGCTTTGAGACGAAGGCTGAGGAAGCAGCAGCAGAAGCAGCAGCAGCGGCTGCTGTGGCGCTGCGGTGCGTGGCTCAGGAGCAGCAGCAGCTCCAATGCTGCAGCAGCGGCCCCTGCCTGCTGCTGCTGCTGCAGACCCGCGGGTGTCTGTACACCTGGCGCAGCTACAAAGCAGCAATGGAAGCAACAAATGGCACTTGGGAAACTTGGCGAGACATCCATGCTGACATGCAGTCGGAGGAAGGCGTACAAAAGGTAAACCCTAAACCCTAAACCCTAAACCCTACCTTCTCACACACTGCCGGCTGCAGGGTCGATGAGCCGGGCGGAAACTGCCAAGTCCAAGAAACCCCAAAACCTAAACCCTCAGCGCGAAACTCATGTTTGGATTTAGGGTTTAAGGTGTGGGGCTTATTTCTCAAGATTTAAGACCTAGGGCTTAGGGTTAGGATTTAGGGTTTAGGGTTTACGGTTTACGGTTTACGGTTTGGGGTTTTCGCGCAGGTTGTTCGCACGCTGGCTGCGTGCAATGGCTACGCTGCTGCGAGAGCTCTTTTAAAAGTAGGTTTTGCTGCGGGGAGCTAACCAGCTAGCTAGCTAGCTAGCGGCTAGGTAGCTAGCTAGCCGGTAGCTAGCTAGCTAGCTAGCTAGCTAGCTAGCCAGCTAGCAAACCTTTTGCCCAGCTAGCTAGCTGCTAACTAGGCGGACAGACAGCTTGCTGAAGGCATATCGACACCCAACTGTTTGCTACCTGGCTAGCCACAAACCTAGCTCACCAGCAAGATGGCTAGCCAGCTAGCTAGCCAGCTAGCTAGCCAGCTAGCTAGCCAGCTAGCTGCCGTGTGGTCTGCTCACAAGCTGCTTGTTCAGTCGGGTAGCTCGAGCCTGGCCGCCTGATGCGCTAGCTAGCTCGCTGCCAAGCTGTGTGGCCGGCTAGCTAGCTTGCTGGCTAGCTAGCTTGTTGGCTAGCTAGCTAGCTAGCTAGCTAGCTGGTTGAGTGCCAGGCCTGGGGCTAGCTGTGGGTGTTTGTTTCCGCGCAGCTCGTCAGCGGGGCTGCTGTGTCGCCAGCTAGCGACCTGTCGGCGGGGCAGCCAGCTAGCCAGCTAGCTAGCCAGCTAGCTAGCCAGCCAGCTAGCCAGCCAGCGGGACGGCTAGCTAGCTCTTACCTGCAGGAGTGGCTAGCTGAGGCGGAACTGAAGCAGCTGCTGTCGCTTCCCGGCTTCCGAGGTGCAGCAACTCGCCGGCTGCTGGCGCTCAGCAGCAGCAGAAGCACGCGAGTGGCCTTGCGGCTGCTCTCCCTCAGCAGCAGCAGCAGCAGCAGCAGCAGCAGCAACAGCAGCAAGGTGATGCTGCAGCTGCAGGGCGGCTTCCCGAAAGTGGCTGGCCGTTTGTACCTGTGCGAGCTGCTGCACCAGCAGGAGCAGCTGTGGACGCGTCTGACGCAGCAGCAGCAGCAGCAGCTGCAGCAGCTGCTGCCGTCGCTGCACCTGCTGCAGCTCGTGGAGACTGAGGTGGAGAGACACCGCGAGCCGCTGCTGCAGCACCCGCTGCTGCTGCTCGAAAGCCTCATACTTAATGCCCGCACGGAGCTGCTGCAGCACTTTTTGCTGCGCTGGCCAGCTTTGAGGGACAATGACCTTCTTCTGCGTTACGCGCGCAAGGCCCTGGGGCTTCCTGCTGCTGCTGCTGCTGCAGGCACTGCTGCTGCTGCTGCTGCAGCAGGAGCTGCTGCTGGCGGTCCGGGAGCCGCAGCAGTAGCAGAGCAACATCTGCGCGCTAAGACGGACACTGCTGCAGCTGCAGCAGCAGACCCCCCAGCAGCAGCAGCAGCAGCAGAAGCAACAGCAGCAGCAGCAGCAAAAGGCCTGCCGCCGCCTAGCTGGGGATTCGGGGGGCGGTGGGTCCTTACAACTGATGAAGAGACAAATGAGCGGATTCGTGCTGCGCATGCATACACCCCAGCTCCTGCTGTTGCTGTTGCGCTGCAGCTGCTGCAGCTGCTGTCTCCTGGCAGCAAAAAGGAGGCCCTCAGCTGTCTCCAAATCTGCACAGAAGTTGCTTCGCTGCTGCCCCACGCACTGTACAGACACCCCATGGCGACTTGTGGGCCCGTTGCTGCTGCTGCTGCAGCAGCAGCCCCAGCAGCTGGTGTTCGTGCTGCTGCTCCAGCAGCAGCAGCAGCGCCTGCAGCAGCAACAACGGCGACGAGCTGCTGCAAGGCCAACTGCGTTAGAATGATAGAACGCTCCCTAATCAGAGATGAAGATGCACCAGCAACGGCAGCAGCAGCAGCAGCAGCAGCCACGTCCCCAGCTGCAGCAGCTGCTGCGCCTGCTGCCGCAGGCTCCTGCTCTTCAGCAACTGGCCCAGAAGCAGCTCGCGGGAGCGCCAGCAGTAGCACCAGCAGCAGCAGCACCAACAGCAGCAACAGCAGCAACAGCAACAGCAGCAGCAGCAGCAGCACCAGCACCAGCAGCAAGGCTGTGTGGCGGAACTTGTGCGGCACTGCTTTCAACAGCTTCGACGCTCTGCACTGCCAGCGCTGCTCCTTCGCTGGGGTGTACGTACACCTCAAGGGTAAGGGCTCAGTGCGGCTGACAAATGTACTGCCCTGTGGGCTGCGGCAGCAGCTAAGGAGGCTGCATCCTGCTGCTGCTGCTGCTGCTGATGGTGCTGCTGCTGCACCGGGTGGTGCTACTGCTGGGAAACATGTAGCAGCGTCAGAGCCAGAGGAAGCTGCAACCACTGCAGCAGCAGCAAAGGCAGCAACAAGCTCCGTGGCGTTGCTGCCGCAGCTCCCGGCAGAAGCACAAGTTGATCCTCCTGCAGCAGCAGCTAATGAAGCAGCAGCAGCAGCCGCAAACAGAGCTGCGCCAGCAGCAACCAGTGCTGCGGCATCAGCAACCAGTGCTGCGGCAGCAGCACCGGCAGCAGAAACTGGCGCAGCAGCAGCAGCAGCAGCAGCCCCGGGGATGGCTCTGTCGCTGCTGCCCTATGGATCGCTGCTGGGTTTGCTGCAGCAGCTGCTGCAGCTGTGTCTGGCAAAGTTTGGGGGCTTCCGTTGGGTGCAGGCTCGCGTGCTGCTGCTGCAGCAGCTGCTGCCGTTTATTGCTGCTATCTGGAGCCGCTGGGGCTGGCTGCCCCCCATTGAGCTGCTGCTGCAGCCCCGCACTGCAGCAAGACTTCGGGACACTTTGCTGCGCTGCAACGAGCTGTCTCTTGCCTGGCGGCTTTGCAGCAGCTATTTCCACGCAGCTCTGCTGCTGGTGCAGCAGCAGCAGCAGCAGCAGCAGCATAATCAGCAAAAGCAGCAGCGGAAGATGCTTTTGCACGCCACTGGCCCGGCTGCTGCTGCTGCTGCTGCGCCCCCAGAGGCTGCTGCTGCTGTCCACAGCCCAGCGGCCCCGGCAGCAGCGGCGGAAGACCCAGCAGCAGCAGCAGCAGCAGCAGCA